ACTATGGAGCTGATTCTGCCCCAAAATAGAGCAATGTTATGGAAGGCTATGTTACGTGGCCCTTCCATACAATTGGACACTAAATATTGCCATGTGGATGCTTTGGCAGTCGGGGGTTTTATATAGAAACCTATCCTAAACGCACAAATCTCAAAATACAATGCTGCCATAACTGATCTTTGATGTTGTATAATAACATACGAGTGAAGTTGCAATTTCTCTTGTTAAACGCCTGACAGTACCATTTTGTATGAGAAGTGCTATGTAACAGAGCCTTGCCATAACATGTGGTCTATTTTTACGAACGGCAGAATCCCCTTATGAGTGGAACGCATGGAAAAATAGTCTGAAATCGTATAGAGAAATGCTCTTTCTATTGATATTTTGCATGTACTATATATGTAGACGTTAGTCTGAAATCGTGCTGAATAATAGCTAGAACGAGCCCTTTTTTTTAAATTTTATATATCTTTAAATTATTTTCAGAATTAAAAAAAAACGGTCTTATGTTACGTTAAAATCTTCCAAAAACATTTTGTTTAAAAAACGAGTAATCTCTTCTTCTAACTGGCAATTTTTGAATATATTAGTTTTAAGATATGTACATATATATTGTATATCAAATATTTTCTGTGTTCTGTAAGTATAATTATTTGGGTTAGGTATTTTATTTTATGGTTAGTTCAAAGTATTGATATTTTGTAGTTCTATCTAGATCAGATTTTTATCAATAAATTCAATAATTCAAATTTCGGTAAATCTTTTCTAGAATTTGTTTAAAGATTATTCCTACTAAGAAAATATGGAAACTCAGACAGATGTTTTCAATAAGCAGAAAGACAATATTGTGATGAGAAAGTGTTGAGCAACTATGTTCTCCAAAAAGGTTTTCAGCAAGATGATGAAATGCAGCATAGTCAGCAAGATAATATTTCTCAAATAGATGAGAATACTGAGAATTCTTCGTTACCGATGAGAGCTGATGAGGTCCAATATGCTAAAACAAAAAAAGGAAAAAACTTTCTAAAAAAGAAAAAGAGAACGAAGATTTGAATATACAAAAGAGCAAAAGAGAACAGTCTTATCGCGCATTGAAGTATCTTCTTAATAAAAGTAGTGTGTATTCCAAATATATAGGAGGAGAGAATGTAACAACATGCAAAATGTTAAAACCAAAAATCATTCAGCTACACAGCCTGACATTGATTTAGCTCAGATAAGAAATTCCTCCAATGAACAGGCAAGAGCAATGAATATATCATTGCTTGAGAATGGTAAATTAAGAGATTACCAGCTGGAAGGAGTTGAATGGTTAAAGGTTCTTTACGAAAATGGAGTGAACGGAATTTTGCAGATGAAATGGGTCTTGGCAAAACAATTCAAACTATTGCTTTTATCTGTCATTTATATAATGAGGGTGTCCGGGGGCCTTTTCTCATATGTGCTCCTTTATCTACCTTACCCAATTGGTCTTCAGAATTTAAGAGGTTTGCTCCAAAACTTCCAGTTGTTCTCTTCCATGGTGACAAGGAAACAAGGAAAAGTTTAGTCTCCTCTATTTTAAAGAAAAAATACATTGTGGGTGATAAAACACAGTGCCGTCCTGTAGTTTTGACTAGTTATCAAACACCGTTGACCGAGCAAGCGATCATGTCAGTGCCCACATGGTCGTATATTATAATTGACGAAGGCCATAGATTAAAAAGTCATAAAACTCAACTATATAGAGTTTTGCAATCATTCAAGTCAATGAATCGCTTACTCTTAACTGGTACTCCTTTGCAAAACAATTTAAGGGAATTATGGTCATTACTACATTTCCTCTTGCCTGAAATTTTCACTGATTTTGAAATTTTTGAAGCATGGCTTGACGTAGATGATCTGAAGAATGATGCTGATAAGTTTATTAAGAAGGAGCAGGAAACTCGTGCTTTGTCTATGATGCATGATATTCTGAAACCTTTTGTGTTGCGCCGTTTAAAAACTGATGTCGCTCTAAGCCTTCCTCCCAAGAAAGAACTGATAGTATATTGCCCCCTCTCTGTCAAGCAAAGAGATTTATACAAATATGTTGTAGATAGAAATATTGAAGAATTAGCGAATCCAGGCAAAAAAGAATTTGAAATTTTGCCAGAGAAGCGGCCTACTAAGGCTAGAACCTCAAACTTTTTTAAGGAATGTGAATCAGACGATGAATTCGATTTTTACGAGGATGTATTAAATCTTCCTAGCAGTTTCACGGATATTCCAAAAAAAGTAATACGTGAACTAGTCAGAATTACTATGCAAAATACTGCAATGATGTTTCGCAAAATTGTGAATCATCCATATCTGGTTCATTTTCCTTTGGAAAAGGAATGCATACAAGGTGAAACGCCGGTTCTTCGTATTGATGAAGAACTTGTAACTCAGTCCGGTAAAATGATGATGCTTGACGCGTTGAGTAGTCGACTTATTGCTGGAGGGCACAAAATACTTATATTTAGTACTCTGACTATGATGCTCGACATTATTGAAGAATTCGTTATAATGAGAGGCTACGACTACCGGCGACTAGACGGCGGTAAAAGCTTTGAACAACGAAGTGAAGCTATACAAGAATTTAATACTGATCCTGAAGTAAAGATATTTTTATTATCCACGAGGGCTGGAGGTCAAGGTTTAAATTTAACTGCAGCTGATACTGTGATCTTGTATGACAGTGACTGGAATCCTCAAGTAGACATCCAAGCTCAGGACCGGTGCCATAGAATTGGACAAACAAAGCCTGTGATAATATATCAATTTGTAACTAGAGGTACTATTGATGAAGTCATCATTTCAGTTGGGGAGAAAAAACGAAAACTGGAGAAACTTATAATACAAACAGATAAGTTCAAATTAGTTGGTAAGAAATTACAAATAACAGAAAAGGCTGAATTAGAGAATTTGAAAAAACTTCTCACTGAAGATGAAAAAGTAGTTGTTACTTCTGGTGAAAGTGTAATTAGTAGCGAAGAACTGGATAAACTATTAGATCGCTCAGATCTGCTACTCAACATAAATAATAATAAGAAATAATATATTTCGCACTGTCATTAGGATTGGTTTATATTTATTTATCATTTATTATTCTTATAGGAGTTTACCAAATAAGTTGAGTTTTAGGTAGTTCTACAATGTAAAAAAATATCATATGACGTTGATCTTCATATTGATATATCATATTTATATGTAATGTCTACCTCAAATCACTACATGTTTTTTAAATAATTTTTTACATAACGACTATTTTTAATCGTTCGAATCGAAAATCAAAGATATCAGTAGATAATAATATAGGTACATTTTTAAATGTTAATATTCATATTTTTGGTATCTGAACAGAACAGTCAGAACAATGTGTTATATGAGCTGTTGAGCTGTAATTCTTGAATCCTTTTATTAGAAGGTAATTTGGTGATGGACCATACTCTCTTTGATAAAATTATTAGTAGATTTAATATCAATAGTGATATTGTTGCAATGCCTTCCCTATATTTTTATTTCTCTTTGAGTTTTACGAGCAGATCTATAATAATGATATATGAAATTAAACAAATTATTTTCTACTATTCAAAATAATTTCATTCCAAACAGAACCATGTACAACCTGGCCATTTACAAACGTACCAAATGAAAAATCCTCACTATTATTTCCACTCGTATGAATTTCATATATGTATACTCATTCAAATATCATGAAGCAGAGGTTTTGTTTACATAATAGTTTGCTCATAGAAGTAATGCACAGTGTATAGGCGCATGTAACTGGGCATTTGTACGTGACGTAATCAAATTAATTCGCACGAAATGCCGTTCACATGTGTGTTTTGTTTGCCCATATGTGTTTACATAAAACATGTGCAAATTCAATGCGTTCGAACTTCGTTACTCGCTCGAAATTCGGTCTAGGTACGTACAGTGTTAACTAGAACACAGGCAATATACTGCATTTGTTTGGCAGATTTTTTTATGATTTTTTGGTAAAACACATTCGGCTTTTTCATGACCAAAGGAATGTAATAATACGAATTCTATTCACAAAACAGAAAATAAATGTTTAATACCATTTGGAAAAAAGATAGTAGATTACACCCTCCCAGAGTATAGAATGTTCTAAAATCGACTAATTTAGACATTATGACAAATTTGTTAATTTGACCTTCATGTCATTTTTAGTTTAGAATCGCATAGCACATACATATCCTTTTGACAGTTTGTTATTACCAATTCATACAAAGATAGATCCGTAACATAGCATTGCCATAACATTTCTACGTTATCAGAGAGTTGGTCTCATGTTTTTAAATAAAAATAGCTTTCTCTAATTTTGCTGTATCAAAATTTTAAATATATTATCAGTATTAGATAAATTATCCTGAAAATTATAGATAGGCAGTAGTTACCTTCTAAAAGGTAGAAGATCCGACACAACAGCTCATACAATATACATTAATCTTAATTTGTTTATTTAGGTACATTCTAGGTAATATTATTTTCTTCTTGATTTTTATTTTAAGTGTTTTGTTCGTGAAATATTGTGAACTCGGTTTTAAACATTGTTCACTTCACAAATGTGATGTTAATTTTTAGATATTAGGTAGATCCTAGGTAATATTATTTTTCTCTCATTTCTTACATTATAAGTGTTTTGTTGATGAAATATTGTGATCTTGGTTTTGAACATTGTTCTGTTTCCATACAATGCAAATAGTAGAATAGATTTCTATATCATACATAATGTGATTGCAACAGTAACAGTCAATACTTGGCATTGACATTTATTTTTTTATTGTTGTAGTATAATACTATAAAACCACACTTGTAGTATTTTTTTCACTTGAATACACTGAAAATTCTGAACGACCAAATTACAGTATTGTACTTAATTCAACATTCCAAAAATACTTGAATTAGCATTTAATTTAATTAGTAAGGAATGAATTCACGATATAATTACATGAAAATGCTTTCCAGCAGATCTCACTGTAAATCGTATTATGCATATGCCAAAATGAAATGATACTCGTTAATTTATTACTAATAGTGAAAAAATTAATGTACTATGTCCAAAATGTATAGAAGATGATGCGCTTTTCGCTGCATTAAAAATTTAGCCTTATAAACTCATGAAATCCGATGTTAATTATAAACAATTTGTTACTCTTGATTATTCGAATTTTAATAAATATTATTCAAATTTGTGATAAATATTCAAACCACTTGTATTTCTTTTATTTCTCATTTTAGAACCCATGATTTTCAGTTGCACCTGAGTACTACACCTGCACAATATCCTTCTCTAATAACAATACACAGTTGCACGCACTAAAGTATCTTTACGATATAGAGATGTGTAGAGTGATATTCGAAATAGTTGATAACAAAATTTTTCGAAATTACAGCAAGAGATGAACTTTATAAACTCCCTAGAAGAGAAAACATCACAAATGCAAAAGTGGTTCTAAATCTAAGATTTTCTTATTTATTTTAATATTCTAACTGGTAAAATAGCAAATAATTAGTAAAGACAATAAAAATTAGTGAAGGTAAGTTTCACTGTGCAGTCATTTTATATAATTATCATTTAGTAAATGATATTTCTTGTACAGGTGTAATCACGCACACCATACATGATAAATTACTTCATAATATTTTTCAATCTTTCTTATAAATGGTAACCGGGTGGACCATATATACTCGAATGCCATGAAACCGTTTAAAAACTTTGCTATTTTTTTAAAATGCCTTTATATTATTTTCAATTAGTTTACTTCTTATCTTTACATTATTCTACTTCTTAATTTTCATTATATAAATGACATAGAAGCCTCATGATTGACTCTAGGTTTTTGTAAAACGTGAAACAACATACAGCCTGAGCAGATTTATGCTACAGTTTAACGACATACGATAATAAATGTATATAAATATTATGTTTATTCCAGCAAATCAACATTATTCGTTATAAAAAGCATCATATCCTCACAGTATTTCAGTTTGCCCCGATTTTTGAGATAATTATAACTATGGTAATTTTAACACTTCAGTCATTTTGATCTCTTACAGAGGTACTGTGTTTGTTGATTAACTTCTTGTAGGATAAGGTATAGTAATTAGAAGCTATCTAAATTTGTATATTTTACGTTTTAAGACTTCGTGAAAATTTTGGCAAGCTTTCAAAAAATCTATGTGTGTGTGTAGTATGTATGTATATGCGGATACAAAATTTTTGTCGATGATTTGGAGAGCGCAAATCAACCGATTTGAATGATTCAAAATACATTTGATTCCTATTGATGGAGACTGACTGCTTTTGGCTAACGCAGTTCCAGACGTTTTGAAGATATGGGACAACAAATGTCAATACAGTCGTCGGGCAATCAAAATATGTATAGAATCGAGTGTATCTGACATAAATAGATTTTATTTATATTCGCAGGCTGGGCTCATAGTTTTATATACCTCTATTTAACTGGTGTTTTTACAATGCTATTTTATGAATAAATTAATACAAAATTCGTATTGGATCAATATCATTTGTATAATATTGCAAAATCTAAATATACGAATATTTATGCACTCAAATTTCTCAAATAAGTCATTTTATACATCAAATAGAATTCGGCTCAGTGCGTTTCATGAGACAAACTTTCAAGTTCAAAGACTTGAATGTTAAATAACCAGGCTACACTGGTATCTGGGGGTCTCGATGACATCACAACATGGAGCAACATACTAAAATGGTGACCCTTTGTCGGTTAGATCGGCTGCACCCGGCGGAGTATAAAGAGAACAAACCATCCGATTTGAATGATTCAGAAAACATTTTACTTGTATTGACGAAATGAAGAATTAACTAAGTTTTTATAAAGGCAGATCGAGCTGTTTCGGAGAACTAATAAAAAAATGTTAATAAAGTGGCATTTGATGGTCAAAAATTATCATTAGACATTAGCAAGTTTATACATCTTGCTTCACTTTATCCTCTGTTTGCAGTGTACAAAATTTAGTTGATCAATTAGTTTTTAGATATCGGAGAGTTAATGGATTTTGCTCCACTTTAACACCTTGCTGACAATGTCGATTATGGTTATTCATCTGTACCTCTCTAGCTCGTAGAGAGTCGTAGTGAGCGAGTTATATATGAATGTGTAATTTCAGTAATTAACACAGTATTCTCAATTCATTAGAGTGACCGAGAGCCCGCCGTGTTGTTTCCATTTTATCGCACCGCTCGCATACAATGCGTGACATTTCTAGCATTTCAATTTATTTGATATGACCCTCTACACTGTAAAGCTTTTGTTAAGTGCGCTCGCTGCTAAATACATGTAAATGAACGTGCCACCGAGGCCTTTCTCTAAGTGGGTAAACTGTAATAAAAAAATAACTATGAAAAAACAATGCCAACGCGCTATCATTATGGCTGAAATATAGAACGACGTTTCTTATTTCGTGTTCCATATTATAATGAAATAAAATCTTTGGCATTTATTGAAGCTTTAATTTAATTGGTCCATGATTACCATACCAATAGGTGTTTTTACGTTTTTCAAAAATGAACTTTGTTTCTTTATATTTTATTAATAACAATCAGCACATAATTCCATTCTGCAAGTTCTTTTGATTTACATTATTGAAATATGATTATAGACAGCTAATACGCTTGTTATTAAAAGATACAAATTACTGAATCAAAGTATTACACCCAAATTTTTTTGGTCTTCTAAGTTCTGGTTTAAGAAGTGACGAAGCGACTAGTAAATTGATAATAGAATGATTTTCTAATTGCTGATGTGTGGAATTGTGGATTTTGCTCTTATTTCTTTTAATACATAGCACATTAAGACCATTGTGCAGAGTTTCATTCCATCATTCTCCATTCATCTTCAAGAAGTTTTGATTGTGGTCACTGTACTAATGCTACTTTTGACTTGTTAGAGTGGCCCCAAAGCTCTATTCCATACGACCAAATGGATTATTATAGTATGAACTGAGATTTAGTTTTCAAGAGATATATTTGAATTTTGTCCGATGAGCCAGTATAGTTCCCACACTCACTATCGTCAATCAAGACGAATTACTACAATTGATGTTGAAATTTGCATGTTTTTTAAGTGTATTCCAGACCAAGTAAATTTATCGTTAATGATGTGCAGTGACTTGCTTTTATTAATGCTAACATGCCACTTATTTATTCATGCATGAATTAATTTAAACTGTTGTAATTTATTTGATGCTATATATGGATTTTGGCCACATGATATGATTGAAATAACATCACAAAAATTGGCCGTAGT